CATCAAAAAATAGATTTCCTCTTTTACCAGCCTACTAGTATCTCTGGGGATCCATAGGGGGTCCCTGCTACACGTGAACCATTAACATTTACAACCTGATTCCAGGGCCGTCCCCATACCCTGTCCGGTATGGGCGCCAAAACCATGAACCTCAATATCTCGTCCGGTATGATGGTGAAACGGGCCGTCCCTATACCCCGTCCGGTATGGGCGCCAAAACACATAAGGTCTCCATACCCCGTCTGGTATGAGAGACCACGTTCCCGGTAGGGTTCCCTACGGACTCGGTCCGTTCACCATCTCCCAAGATAGAGTCAGGCTGTCCACATTATCCACTCATCAATTCACATAACCTTTTTGCTATTTTCTTTGGTCTTACTCATCCAATCATACACAAACATATAAACCAGTCATCGACACCAAATAAGACAATACAGTACCGGGTTCACCATAATTCAAACCATAATAAAAGAAATCATAGTTCATGCATACGATACCATAATATAATTACATCAAACATCATGCTGCATTTAATACTGAAAAATAGATCAAATAATAACAGACCAATACTGTGTTAGACTCGGGCTCCATTGACAACCTTAATCAATTATACATCTATAAAGTCACAAAGTACAGTTTAATTATTTATTTAGCTTTAATACCGTGATAGAAAATAGGGTGAGGGGTCTTTACCTGTTTTGGGGTCTGAATTCGACTCTACAGTGTGCCTACAGGCTGTCCCTAATTTTCCTGGATTTTTTCCGGAAAACTAAAACGCACTACCGGTACCTACACGTCCCAAAAAATCTCAAATCAGACCTAGGGCCCCTTTCGGCCAATATCGGAATTCCGGCACGGTGGCTCCGCCGTGCTCCAGCGATGGCGCCGCCGCTTGCGGCGACGATCCGCCTCGGGTTGGCCGTTTTCGGCCGAATTCGGCCACACTTGCATCGATCCCTGCGATAAAACAACTCTAGGGCCCTCGGGGGCCAAAAAATCACGAAAAATCGAAACTTACCGGCGACGGTGCTCTCGGGTGCGGCGGCTCCTCCGGCGTGAGTCGCGTTTTGATGTTTGGCTCCGATCAACCTGTAGAGAAAAGACCAGTGATCACAGTGGTATAAAATTTGCATCGAACGGAGGTCGGGAAGGGCCTCATCGGAGGCAAAAACAGAGGGGGGGCGCGACGACGCCGCTGGACTTCGGCTGGTGGTTTGGCTCCGATTTGGCCATAGGCGGACTCAGCATCGAAAAACGAGCCAGGAGAGAAAATTTACCTCGATCGGCGATCGAAAATTTTTCCGGTGCGTCGGCGAGCTCTTCCGGCGGCCGGCTCTTCCGGCATTTGGTTCTTCTTCTCCGGCGAGGCACTGACAGCTAGGGTTTTGTGGTCAGGTGTGGGTGAGGTTATTTATACCCTTTGCCTTTTAATCTGAACCGTCCGATCGCGATTTAATTGAGATTAAATTTGGACCGTCCATCGCGATGCAATCTGGGCCGTCCGTGCGCACGTTTGATCTGGCCCGTCTGTACACAGGGGAACGGATCTGGGCCGTCCGATCGCGCGCACGCGGATTGCCCACGTGGCCCGTCCCTTGGTCAGCGTTTCCTTGCCACACGGCGTGTCCTGGTTGGCCGGGGCTGTTGAACGGGCCGCTGACGTGGCACAACTTTTCTAAATTGCGTTTTGACCCCCAATTTTTGATTTTCTTTTCAAAAACACCAACAGAATCCAAATTTTCACCAATTTTTTCCAAAAATCAATTTCAATTAAATTCAAATAATATTTTTACCTAATTTTATCATTATTATTATTTTTTATTTTCATTAAATTAAATTAAATTAAATCAAATTAAATTAATTAAAAATCTAAAAAATTCAAATACAAAAAAAAAAATAATAATAAAATAAATAATAATAATAAGAATAAAATTAAAATACTTGAGTGTTACAGTATGTCTGTTTCTTTTTATGCACAACCTGTATGTAATATTACAATAAATAAATAAATGCATATGATATATATGATAAGAAGAAGAAGAAGAGGCAAGTTATTTTTACCTGGGTGGTAAGGAAAAATGCTAATATTACAACTCGTGATTAATATGTCTGTCTGTTGATTGATATGTTTGTCTCTCTTTATGCACGCAACCTAAAAGTGATATTATAACACACAAGTAAATGTATATATACATATATGATAAGAAAAAGAAAAGAAGAAGAAGAAGAAGAAGAGAAGAGGCAAGTTAAGATACCTGGGTGGTAAGGAAAAATGTCAAGTTACAACTCGTGATTAGGTCAGCCTGCATGATGAAAGAAATATAAAATCATTATAATTATTCATTGATATGCTTCTCTGAATATTTTAAGCGAAAATGTATGCATACTTATTATTTATCTAGTTCTGATGAAGCGGTTTATAGTGTTGTCTTTGAGCTTTCCGAAGGTACATAGTGAGGATCGCTCATCACATCCTGCAAAACCGATTTTAATATATACAACTATATATATATATATATTTGTAATTAGATGCCACATTTTGTATGATATTGTTGCATATCAAGTCACCTGGTGTGAGGAAACTTGGCTGTTGTGAGGGGATGGGCCTGCACTGCTACCGCATGGAATGATGCTGCCCATATTTTCTTGAGCTAATTCTCTCAATTTACAAAGTTCCGGCAGCACGACTTTGCCAAGATCCGGCCTATCTTTCCTTCTCAATTCTGCACACTGGAGTGCTACCTTGGCTAAACACAAGGCTGCATCAACAGGCCAATCAGTCACCTTCGGATCGAGCATTGATTCAAATGTTCCTTTCTTGATTGAATGTTCAACATAATGAGCTAATCCCATTGGATTTTGTGCTGTAAGAAGTTGCAGAAGCAATATTCCTAATGAATATAAGTCAGATTTTACACCAAGCATTCCTGTTTGTTGGTACTCTGGATCAATATAGCAGAATGTTCCAGCCATGCTAGTCATTCGGTACTGAGTTACATTCTCAGCCACTGCAGGGACTAATCTGGCTAATCCCACATCGCTTATTTTACTCACATAGTTTTGGTCTAGCAATATATTTGCTGGTTTCAGGTCTCTGTGAACCAATGGCTCTGGCTTGGTCTGATGGAGAAAGAGCAAACCTGTGGCAATATCTGCAGCAATTTGGAATCTGAGCTGCCATGACAACACCGGTGTATTCCCTTTCCGGAACAATCGATCTTCTAGACTTCCTTTCGCCATATATTCATAAACTAGAATGCCATACTCTGGACAGGCTCCCAGAAGAAGTACCATGTTTGGATGCCTTATGCAGCTAAGTACTTCAATCTGCATTATTGTTCTAAAATCTCATTAGTATGATCAAGATAAAAATTGACTTGAGAAATCAAATGCTCTCACCTCTTTCTTGAATTGTGAGGTTCCTTGAACTGCATCAGGGCGAAGAACCTTTACAGCCACAGGTGTATGATCAAGATAACATTTATAGACAAGACCGTACCCGCCTTCTCCAATCTTCCGAGATTCAGAGAAGCCTTCGGTGGCTGCTTCAATCTCCTCAATTGTATATCTCCTGTACCTCATGCTATTATTGGATAAAGTATCCAGAACCTTTTTCATTTCTTCACATTCTTTAAGGGCTTTCTTTTCTGCACTCGTTCTTTTCTGTGCTTCCAGCTCTGCTAATCTTTTTGCTGCCTCTGCTGCTTCCATTGCCGCCTTGTACTTAAGTCTCTCTTGCTCCACCATAGACATTGCCTTGTGGTTTGCAGTAAGTGCTTCTTTGCATGCTGTATTATACAAATCCATCGTCTGCTTTAGCTCCATTTTCAGTCTCCTCATCTCACCTTCAATATCTTCCTGTTTGATATTAATAATTATTTTTTTAATATTAACCAATTCATTCCCAACGTAATTTATCAGGTAATTACCATGCTTTGCGATGAATACGAACATGAAGCACACGACAATCTACCGCTTTCTTGGGAAACTGGTGATAAATCATGTAGAGAAATTTGGTCACTGAACTTGAATCCTAGATTGAGATGTCCAAGGGCAAGACTCTGTTCCGAGCTAGTGGAAGGTCGTGAAGTTGGCATTGAATCAGTACAACTGTAAGGGAAAGAAGAGGCATGGTCCGTGCTCGTCCTGTCTGAGCTGACAAATGATATATCAGTTTCTGATTCTGATAAATCTGAAAATGGTGGCTTTGTATACCCTCTTTTTCCAAAAGGTGACCTGTTAGATTGATCAAATAACATCTCATTAGACCAACCAAAATCAAACTACTCCGGTCCATTCAGTTCAATTTTTTATTCACTTACTTTCTTTGGATTTAAATATAGATGTTGAGTAATGAGGTAAAGGGATAACTAAACCAAATGAGTGATTATGATATTAAGACTTACTTTGAACGAACTTCGCGAACCGATGTGTTTCCAAGTTTGGATGACATTCGCTCTATGGAACAGTTACAGTAATTTGAGGATAATTTTGGAAGACAAAACTTGAGATTGAAAAGATTTGTTAAGGGGAAAATACCTCTAAGACTACTGTGATTATCCTCAGAAATTTGGTTCTCTATCTGACTTAACAATGGAGAAGTATATGAGGCTGAGTGAGAGGCATGCCGTACTGAAGACACTTTCCCTTTGGAGATGACGTATACAGTGCAGAAATCCGGTGCTCCTTTTGAGACGCCACTAGGAACATCTGCCCTGAACCGTCTGTACCAAGAACGGGAGTTAGATTTAATCATCCTCAGCCTTTTTTTTTTTTGACAAATTATCAAATTAGTCGATCAAACTATAAGTGGGTTTCTTTGAGAAACAATTGTAATTACAATTTGTTTTTTTAAAAATTGAAAAAGTTATTACATAGAGGTATGTGTACGGATAAAAAGTTGAAAGGAGAAGATGTGGGTACCTCATAAATCCATGCTTTGAAGGGGAACCAAGAACCAGATTCTCAATTGCAGCGTAAGCCACATAATCTGTTAATGCCCTGACTGTGTCTGTGTCTTCCAGTACCACATCAAAGCAGTGTATCTGATTATATAAATTCTTGTAATTAGCACCAAATTAATATTATTCAAAGAAAAAGATAATTAATTAAATCAAAATTACATAAGAAGCTTACATCTTTACGAGTGCAATAGCAGTGGAAGGGGAGGAAAATTTCCCCGCTCAGCTTCTCGGTTACCTGCTTTTGTGACATAGGCCCTCCTCCAATGTGCTCGTTGCCTTGCCCCTGACCTGCCATGCCGATCATAATTTCTTCGTACTCTTTTTCATGTGTTTGGAAAAAATAATAATATTTTTCTTTAAAATATAAAATAAAATCACACATGAAATTTGAGTTAAATTTTTTTATATGAAATTACCTAGAATTTCTCAATTAAATAAATAATTTACTAAATCGGATTTGTAGATACCGGGTAAATTGGATGATTTTTGAAGAACATGGATCAAAACAGCAGTTTGGCCTCTGGAAAGAAGAGTTTCAGCTGCCCATTTCAGGGCCTGTTGGCTTCCTTTGTCTTTGTCTATTGCTACTGCCACCAACCCATTTCTGGTTCCCTTCTTTGCTGGAATATTTCCCCTGGGTAGCCACATTCTTATTTTCTTCTCTCTTCTCCAAAATTTCAAAATTTTCTTTTTACCAAAAATCTCTTCCAAAATTAAATCTATATATATATGCACGCACACACACACACACACAGAGAGGAAGATGAAGATCAGGAAGCAAAAAGGTTATTTGAATATATAATTTGACAAAAAGTAAATTTTTAATAGCTAATGAATTAATTACTACCTGATGAGAGGTCTCGAGACCTCTCTTCAGCTTCCTCGTAATGTTTTACCATTAAAAAGAACCAAGTGTTTACAAGTTTTATATTTCTGGTTAACCGTCTGAAATTTGAAAGAGCTATTTTTGGGTTTAATTTTCTTTCTAAAATAAACTGCTTCTGAATTCTCCACTGTCTAAAAATAGAGGCTCATGTACGTGTGTTCTTACAAACACATGAAAAAGAGAGGAGCAAGCGTGTGTGGAATGGGATAAGATTAAGAGGGAGTCAATACAATTATTAATTTTTACTAAGTGCATATTTGCTGTCAGTTTTTAAGTGGTATAAATGTTTGGTTGTGTTTTCATGTTAAAAGAAGATGCAGGCTGTACGTGCTGATCAATTTTGTGGTAACCTGTAATATTTTGACCTTAACAAAACAATATTCATTGTTTAATATATATTGTCTTGGTATTTTACGCTTCTTCTACATATATTTTATCAAATAGTTAAAGTCGTACTGTAATTGTGTCCGACCATTTATTTGAGTAATTTTAGTATGTATGTATTGATCGGAGGTTTGTTAATATTATAAGTTTTAAAAGTACTATTAAAAATAATTATTTTTTATTATAAAATTACTTTTTAAAATTTTAATAAAAATCAAAAATATTTTTTATTGTTAAAATTTTAAATATACTTTTCAATATAAATTAATAAATAAAAAAAATAAATATAATAAAAGATGTAAATTGACACAAAAGTATGACACAAGAGGTACTAAATTTTAGTAATATGAAATAATAGAATTTTACGACTTAACACAAAAAACAAAAATAAAAATAAAATTAAAAGATGAGAAATAATTTGAAAAAAAATTATACAGAATAAAATAAAATAATACGAAATAATAGATTACTAATTAAAATTAAACAAAATAAAATAATTTAAATATAATTAGAAGATAGTATGAAATTAAAATTATGTACTTTATGTCTAAATTGCTTAAGAGGAAGACCAAATTTTGCTTTTTTTTTTAATAAAAAAATAAATAAATAAATAAATTGGTTTTTTTTTTTAAAGTGTATAATTACATTTTATGATGTTTCTTTAACTCAAGATATCTGACTAAAAAGGAAAATTCTTTTTATATTTATGTGGGCGTTAATAATTATATTATTTGATAAATTATAGATTGAATTTTCAACTAATATAAGTGCAACAATTAGTCTGAGAGGAATCCCTTGGAATGGGTCAATCTTTGAATACGAACGAATTTGTTGATTTAACAAGGAATTCTCATATCAAAAAGTTATTTTCTCAAGGACAAAATTTTATACGTTGGTTATTTTTATTAAAAATATCAATACCCATAATCTTTCACAAGAAAATAATTTCATTCACCCAGATTTTTTACAAAAAATTAAAAGTATAGTAATGTATTTATATGTAGTTTTAATTCATGTAAATGATATTTACATAATCATAAATAAAATTATGGTGCCACACAAATCTAATAACTAGTAAAGGGGAACGGAAACCCTCGCACGTAACAAAATGAGTGATAATTACAGGAAAGGATTTTCAAGTGATAACAAGGGTGGGGGAGGCCTGGGACCCACGAAAACCAAAAACAACTGTCCACCCAACTCCTTTTTCCAGTCAATAAGTCTACCACCAAAACCTGCTCCTTTTCCCATTTCTCCCCAACCCAAAACCCCCGATGAGGAGAGGAGCACCCACTCCGCACCGGAGTCGCCATAGCTAGAGACCTCCACAAACATGACTATGCAATCTCACCTCCTCTTATCTCTTTTCCTCTTACCTTTCTTTTCTTTCACCACCTCTCTCTCCTCCATCATCCCTCTGGGTTTCTCACTCCACGCCTCCAATCAAAACCAGTCTCTATCCTCTCCCGACTCCACTTTCTCTCTCTCATTCCTCCCCGTCGTCCCCGCCACCTCCCCGCCCACTTTCCTCGCCACCATCACCTACTCTGGCGGAGTCGCCGTTTGGTCTGCCGGTGAGGTAGACTCCGGTGGAGTCCTCCGCCTTCTTCCTACCGGATCGCTCCGTCTTGTCAACGGCTCCGGCTCCACCATCTGGGATTCCCGCACTGAAAATCTTGGTGTCTCCTCGGGCTCACTCGACGACTCCGGCAACCTCGTACTCCTCAACAACAAAAGCGTTGTCGTCTGGTCTTCCTTCGAGGACCCCACTGACACCGTCGTCCCAACACAGAATTTCAGTGTGGGTCAAACTTTGCGATCTGGGCTTTACTCGTTTTCGCTTCAAACAAATGGTAATCTCACTTTGACATGGAATAAGACTATTGTGTACTGGAACCAGGCGTCGAACTCCTCCATAGACACCAATTTGACTTCTCCCAGCTTGAGTTTGCAACCTAACGGGGTCATGTCAATCTTCGATTCGAATTTGACCAGCGGAGCTATTGTTGCTTACAGTAGCGATTACGGAGAAGGCAGTGATATATTGAGGTTTTTGAGATTAGACAATGATGGGAATCTGAGGATTTACAGCTCCCCTAGAGATTCCGGAACTATATCTGCGAGATGGGCGGCTGTTAGTGATCAGTGTCAAGTATTTGGGTACTGTGGAACCATGGGGATTTGCAGCTACAACGATTCAAATCCGATTTGCGGATGCCCATCTCTGAATTTCGAGCCCATCGATGTGAATGAAGCGAGAAAAGGATGTAAGAGGAAAGTGGAGCTGGATAACTGTCCTGGTAATCAAGCAATGCTGACATTGGAGCATGCCAAGTTCTTGACATACCCTCCTGAGTTAAAAGATCAGACTTTCTTCATGGGCATTTCAGGTTGCAGGTCCAATTGTCTTCTCAGCGGTTCTTGTACCGCTTCCACTTCTGTATCAGATGGAACTGGAGTCTGTATCATGAAGACACCAGGTTTTGTTAGCGGGTATAAAAACCCAGTTCTGCCCAGCACTTCTTTTGTTAAGGTCTGTGAACCAGTTTCCCCTAATCCCTCACCATTATCACAGGCTGCAGGGAACAGTAAGGGTTGGAAATTGCAGGCTTGGATTGTTGTGGTTGTGGTTATAGTTACCCTTTTGATTTTAGTTGCACTGGAAGGTGGTTTTTGGTGGTGGTGTTGTAGAAATAGTCCTAAATTTGGTGGGTTATCAGCCCAATATGCCCTTCTTGAGTATGCATCTGGTGCACCAGTGCAGTTTTCCCACAAGGAGCTGCAGCGCTCCACAAAAGGGTTCAAGGAGAAGCTTGGAGCTGGAGGGTTTGGTGCTGTGTACAGAGGTATTCTAGCTAATAGAACAATTGTTGCAGTGAAGCAGCTTGAGGGCATCGAGCAGGGAGAGAAGCAGTTTCGAATGGAGGTTGCTACAATAAGCAGCACCCACCATTTGAATCTGGTGAGATTGATTGGGTTTTGCTCAGAAGGAAGGCATAGACTTTTAGTGTATGAATTCATGAAAAATGGGTCACTTGATAATTTCCTTTTTGCCGCAGAAGAACAGTCTGGAAAGTTGTTGAACTGGGAGTACAGATTTAACATTGCTCTTGGAACTGCAAGGGGGATCACATACCTTCATGAGGAGTGTAGAGACTGCATTGTTCATTGTGATATAAAACCTGAAAATATTCTCTTGGATGAGAATTACAATGCCAAAGTTTCAGACTTTGGCCTCGCTAAACTGATAAACCCCAAAGATCATAGGTATAGAACCTTGACAAGTGTTAGGGGAACAAGAGGGTACTTAGCACCGGAATGGCTTGCTAATCTCCCAATCACGTCAAAATCTGATGTTTACAGCTATGGCATGGTTTTGCTAGAAATAGTGAGTGGGAGAAGAAATTTTGAAGTCTCAGACGAAACGAATCGAAAAAAGTTCTCTGTGTGGGCATATGAAGAGTTTGAGAAGGGCAATTTGCAGGCAATCATCGACAAAAGACTTGTTGACCAGGAAATCAATATGGAGCAAGTGATGAGGGCAATTCAAGTCAGTTTCTGGTGCATACAGGAACAGCCATCTCAAAGACCAATGATGGGGAAAGTGGTGCAGATGCTAGAGGGAATTACAGAGATTGAGAAGCCACCAGCTCCAAAAGCCGTTACTGAAGGTTCCATGAGCGGAACCAGCATACACTTGAGCAGTAACATAAGCGCCCTCTCAACATTTGCAGCCTCTGCTCCGGCTCCATCATCGTCTTCATCTCTTCAGACTGTTGAATTGTCATCCTCAGCATCGGGAAGGAATATCGAGGGAGGAGCTTCTTCTTCCTTGCTACGGTCAGAGCAGAAGTGAAAGCTGATTCCCACGACTGAGTTTGTCAACAAGGCAGACTTGAAATTGTATTTTGATGTTCCTGGATTCAACTATGTGAGTCACATAGGCTAGGTAATATGTTGTAAAGAATAGTAGGACTGTGAGATTGTATGATATGCTGAATTTATTATGAACATTGTGAGAGGGCAGAACATAATAAATTCTTGGGTCGTAATTGAAGTTTTTATTCATTGTAAAACATTGGTTTAAAGGTTTAGATTGACAAACAGAGGAAAAATAAATGAAAGAAAACATTCAATTTTCAAATTTGTCTCACTCTAGATTGATAGCTATTTTATATTATGTAGTTAAAGAGAAGATTAAAAATTTATTACATTATTCAAAACAACCGTGTTGAAACCTGGGGTGTTGCTGCAGCAAATGAGGAGATTGTTTCAACTGACTACAAAACAAGCGTGTAAGTAGTATAGTATATATGCTCTGTTGTTGTCAGTTGTCCCCGGTAGTAGCAGGCCTGGGGTTGGTTAAGTAAAATATTATTCACATGTCGATATGAGAGAGAAGACTAAGTTCTTGGAAGTTAATTGCGCCTTTAATTTCACCTGCCCACAGACATATTACCAATTTAAATGTAAGCGATATGATATCGTAGAAGATTTTATTTTCTGAAATATTTTAATGGTGGCTGGTTTACTCATAAACTGTAAAAAAATCTTTATTAGACCAAAAACATAGATCAATAGTTTGTTTACTTACAAATAATTCATATTTCCATTCAGATTTGAAATCTCAATTTCGTAATTTCTCTTCCACTAAAATTATGTGATTATGCCTTGTACCCCAAAAAAAAAAAAACATACGAACAATTTTGTTGATATAAATTCAAGTAGCTCATGAGTTACTTAATTACGACTAACAACTGTCTGTTATTGGCATAATTTAAATGAATTTTGCTTCTTGTTTTTCAAAAACAAAAAACAAAAAAAAAAATTCAAGTAATTCTTGAGACCCTTAACTTTTATGCAAAGAATCATTATGCTAATGGATTACGTAAGTTTACAATAAGTCCAACAAACAATTCCTGAGAATCGATATTTGAGTTTCTTTCCTTTCACACATGCAATATTAATTGCTAATTGGCTACATTATTTTCTTAAAGGCACTACTAATCTTCATGGGTCCATCCTATCTATATATATATATAGGTATATAGGTATATATGTGTACTCAAACTCAATGTCTCAAAAGATAAGACAAATGTTGGGGTATATACAAAGTCAGGAGTTAGTAAGTTATTCGCACAATGTTGAATTTTAGATGCAATAATAGAGTGAGTTTTTTAAAATATTTTTAAAAAACATTAAGTTGTTTGATAACTCCTCTCGTTTTCTGAGCAAGTGGTTCAGAATTTGATCTCCTCTTTTCACAAATTATTTAGCCAGCCGCCTCAAGAAAGAACAAAAACAAACTCATATACACTAAAATACACCAGTAGTTTTAACTATATACATATATATATATATATATTATGCATTATTAAGTTACTAGTGACAAATAAAAGTTACACAATGAGGATTGCACCTTATCCATGATTTTTGTTTGTTGGGTTGTTTAATTGAGAGCATTAAAAAATAGAACATACACATATAAATATTTATATACGTATGTAATTAAAAATTGGGATTCATTACCTTCAACATTGAGTTTGTCTTTTATAGATTCAAATTCTATTGCGTGTTGTCCCAATTAACCTTATAAGGTTGTCTAGTTATTTTAGGCTATGCACCTGCCATCATTATTTTACCTTTTATTTTTTAAAAATAAAATTCTAGCTTTTGTTATAAAAATAGCCTTCAGTACCGTGGCAACTATATGTATATGTATATGTATATATAGTCACCATCATTCTTTTGTTTATTTGTATTGATACAACACAAAATAATTTGCCCACAATGCTAACATATATTATTGTGCTGATCTCTTGTAGCCGCTAACATTTTCCCCCTTTGGCTCAGCCAATAGATGAAGATATCCATCATTATTAAAAAATTTTGATAAAAAAATAATGAAAATAGTGCAAGCTATTGTTATTTATATACTATACATATTTTTTAAAGGGATCAGTGTATTTCACATCAACTTTTGTAAATTAAAAGTAATGATAGTAATACTAATTTATAAATTAAAGTAAACACAAAAATATATGAATTAAGGCTTTAGATGCTTAAATAAAGAAAATTTAAAATTTTAGGGTTTTTTGTGATTAAAAAAGACTAAAATGAATTAAATATTTTAAAACGGGACCAATCTATAATTTATAAAAAAATTGACATCTCAGTAGGTGAGGTGTTAAAGCTAGCCAATCGCAGAGGCGGAGCAGGAAGGAAGAGATGCCAAAATTCAATGGAGGAAGAGACGTCGTGTGGGAAGGAAGAGAGAGGGGAGACCGAGCGGCGTTGGGGTTAAGGGAGAGTCACAGAGAGAGAGAGGTCGAGGGGAAGAGGGGGCGACACGACCGATAGGAATATCTATGCGTGGCTAACCAAAAAGGAAGGGAGTATAAGAAACCAAAAAGGAGAAGAGGCAGCATCATGCAATGGGAGAGGAGATTGTCGCAGGAAAGAAAGAAGAAGAAGAAGAAAAAGAAAAAGAAGAAGAATGAGAAGATGAAGAAAATAAAGGAATTCGATCAAAGCAATCGGCCTATCGTAGCTTAGGGGCAAGCCGACAACGCGATGGAGCTTCGATTGGGAAGCAAATTCATGCATGCCCAGAGAAAAAAAAACCAGGCATAGTGTCGGGCTTGATCTAGCAGTTTCGCTCCAAATATGAGGTGTCGTGAGTTTTTGAGATCTAGCCAACCTTACTGTGAGCCATATCCCAATCGACTTCATGGTGGTTCCGCTCCAAGTCTAAGGTGTTGTAAGCTTTCACAGTGAATTTCAGTCCTTCACGGCAGCACGTGGTGGTGCCAGCAGCGAAAACGTGGTGGCGCATGCTGTTTCCAGTGGTGGCATGTGCGGCAAAGCGTGGTCATTCCAACGGTGGCGCGTGTGGCAATGCATGATCATTCTGGCAATGGTGCATATGGCAATGCGCGACCATTTTGTTGGTGGCATATATGGTGGCGTGTGGTGGTGTGCGGTGACTTCGATGAACCTGGATTACGTGTCAAAGGTAAAATCAATTTTTTCTTTCATTTTATATCATTTCGAAATTATTAGTCAGTTAATAAATAGTGTATATTGTTTGTTAACAAGAGAAACATTGTGGTATGGTTCAGCAACTACCCCCATCGAATTATTTGGTCTTACTCGTTATCAATGGGATCAGGCATACTTCCAGCAAGAAATATATCGAAGAATTAGTGTTGGGCTAGCCGAAAATCAAAGTTTATCAGAAGCTTGGTCTAAAATTCCTGAAAAATTAGCTTTTTATGATTACATCGGCAATAATTCGGCGAAAGGGGGATTATTCAAAGCGGGTTCAATGGACAACGGGGATGGAATAGCTGTTGGGTGGTTAGGACACCCTATCTTTAGAGATAAAGAAGGGCGTGAACTTTTTGTACGTCGTATGCCTACTTTTTTTGAAACATTTCCAGTTGTTTTGGTAGACGGAGATGGAACTATTAGAGCCGATGTTCCTTTTAGAAGGGAAGAATCGAAATATAAGTGATAATCGTGATTGAAAGAGAACTATAGACCAAGTCAGAAAGGATCCCGAAAGCTTTTCTAATCAAATCGTAGGTAAAAATTGAGTTAATTCCGTACGGAGACATATTAGTGTGTATATAAATTATAAATGATATATATAAATATATATGTATAAATTATGTAATGTACATATTTTTTTATAGGTAGGAATTGATAAGAATAGAACTAATAATAACAAAGGCTTGAATGGATTATTTACTGTATGTGGTGTGGCGTGATGAGGTGTATTGGTGTAATGTATATGTATATGTATGTATACTGTGTGAATTTATATATATAAACTATAGGTAAGTGTGTGTATTTATATGTATACACATGTTATTATATGTGTGAATGTGTAATTTTTGTATGTGTGTAATAGTGTATGTATTTATAGTTGATTGTGTGTAGGAATTATGAATCTTAAGTTAAGATATATATTGGAATTGTGCAATAAGAAGATTAGATAATTTGTTCATACGCTTAACTCG